AAACTCATCACTTCCACCACCCACAAACCTGCTGCTCCTGCTGTGTTCCCGACACAGTGAACACCGCCTTAGTCCACTCTCCTGCTGAGCAATCTAGAATCCTGGGAGGTAGCCTTTTAAAATTTTATTTTATTATTTTAAAAAATTTTTATTTATTTTTTCCAGGATAGTTAGTTTATTGAACATTACACAATGTAATCATTTTTTGAGGCCTTTACCAATTTCTCCCTAGCCCCTCTCTCCCTCTACCTTTCATACCTCTAGTAGCTTCATTTCTGTTCTCTGCTTTTGAAAGTTCAATGAATTATTATGATTGCTGTATATTTCTTTTTTCACCATTTATTTTCTTAGCTCTCAATTATGAGTGAGGACATGTGGTATTTCTCTTTCCATGCCTGGCTTAGTTCACTTAACATAATTTTCTCTAAGTTCATCCATGTTGCTGTAAATGGAAGAATTTCATTCTTTATTACGGTAGAGTAGTATTCCAATGTGTAAATGTACCACATTTTCCTTGTCCAGTCATCCACTGATGGACATTTAGATTGGTTCCAACTCTTAGCTATTGTAAATAGAGCTGTTATAAACATAGGAGTGCAGGTATCCCTTCGACATGATGATTTCCATCCCTTTGGGTACATACTCAGCAGTGGGATTCTTGGATCATATGGTAGATCTATCTGTAGTTGTTTGAGGAACCTCCATGCCATTTTCCATAATGATGCACTAATTTACAGTCCCACCCACAGTGTCGGAGGGTTCCCCTTTCTCTGCATCCTTGCCAGCATTTGTTATTCTCTGTCTTTTTGATAATAGCCAGTCTAACCTCTGCGATATGATATCTCAGTGTGGTTTTGATTTGCATTTCCCTGATGCTGAGTGATGCTGAGCGGTTTTTCATGTGCCTGTTGGCCATCGTATATCTCCCTTTGAGAAATGCCTATTCAGCTACTTTGCCCATTTTAAAAATTGCGTTACTTGTTTTTTCACTGTTAAGTTTTTTGTGTTCTTTTATATCCTGGATAACAATCCTCTGTTGGATGTATAGTTTGTCCATATTTTCTTCCATTCGGTAGGTTGTCTTTTCACTCCATTGTTCCCTTTGCTATGCAGAAGCTTTTTAGTTTGATACAATCCCATTTATTTATTTTTTCTTTTGTTGCTTGTGCCTTTGGGATCTTATTCATAAAGTCTTTGCCCAGTTCTACCTTCTGAAGCATTTCCCCTATGTTTTTGTCTAGTAGTTTTATAGTTTCAGGTCTTATATTTAAGTCCTTAATCTATTTTGAGTTGATTTTGGTATATGGTTAAAAGGTACGGGTCTAGTTTCATTTTTCTACATATGGATTTTCAGTTTTCTCAGCACCAGTTATTTATTTATTTATTTTTGTCTTTTTTTCCGTGTCCGGCAACGGATCGCAACCCTCAGTGTTGCCCCCGTACCGGACCGGGTACTGGCAACGGGAGTGCAACCCTCGGTGTTGCCCCCGCGCCTCGCTCAGCCAGTGAGCGGGAACCGGTCTGTATGTGGGATCCGAACCCTCGGGTGGGAGCGGCACCACGCTTCCCAAGCGGCGCACTATCCAGTGCGCCACCGGGCCGGCCCAGCACCAGTTATTAAAGAGGCAGTCTTCTCACGAATTGTGCTCTTTTAACCTTTGTCAAAGATCAGTTGGCAATAAGTTATGTGGGTTGATTTCTGGGTTCTGTATTCTGTTCCATTGGTCTGAGTGTCTGTCTCTATGTCAGTACCATGTTGTTTTCATTATTATAGCTTTATAGTATAATTTGAAGTCAGGGAGTGTAATGCTTCCAGCTTTATCTTTTTTGCTCAGTATTGTTTTAGCTATTCAGGGTCTTTCGTTGTTCCATATGAATATTAGGATTGTTTTTTCTATTTCTGTGATGAATGTCATTGGTATTTTAATGGCAATTGCATTTAATCTGTACATTGCTTTGGGTAGTATGGACATTTCCACAATGTTAATCCTTCTCATCCAAGAGCATGGAATGTCTTTCCATCTTTTTGTGTCCTCTTTAATTTCTTTCAGCAGTAATTTGTACTACTCTTTGTAGAGATCTTTCACTTTCTCAGTTAAATTGACTTCTAGGTATTTTTTTTTTTGGTGACTATTTATCATTTTTGGTTTAAAGTCCATTTTATCTGGTATAAGAATAGTGACTCCTGCTCATTTTTGGCTTCCATTTGTGTGGTATATCTTTTCCCACCCCTCCACCATTAGTCTGTGTGTGTCTTCACAAGTGAGGTGAGTCTCCTGTAGACAGCATATAGCTGGGCTTCTTAATCCAATCAGTCCGTCTGTGTCTTCTGAGTGGGGAATTTAATCCATTTGCATTTAGGGTTATTATTGAAAGGTTTTGGCTTACTCCTTGTATTTTATTGACTCATGTTTGTATGTTTTAAATAACTTTTTTTCCTTTCTTCCTCTTTTATTGTTTGTCTTCAGTGTTTGTCAGTTTTTTGAGGTGGTGAGATGTAGTTTCTTTCTCTTTTAGTTTGTGTTTTTGTTCTACCAGTGGGTTGTGCTCTTTCTTATGTATTCATGATAGTCACTATGTTTTTTTGGATTCCAGATGTGGGAGGCAGCTTTAACATCTCTCCTCCTCCCATTCTCCATCCTGCCAGTCTCTGAGTCCTGCCAATTTGACTTGTCTCAGCCTGGATCCTTCTGGAAGGGGATTTCAGAAAGGTTGTCAACAAGGAAAACCTTATTGGAGTAAGTATTCAGCATCTGAAGGGGAATAGTTCCAAGGGAACAGACTCACATATATATATCTATATATCTATATATCTATATATCTATATATATATATATAATCTTCTGGTGTTTGCTAAAATATAGTTCCTGTCATGGGAATCCAGAGAAGTACTTCAGAGCATGGTTTTTGGAGTCACAGTGACCTGGGTCTGACTGTCACCAATGATGTCAATTTGGGCAAGTCACCTAACTACTCTACTCTAAGCTCCAGTTTCCTCAACTCTAAAATGGAAATAAATAATTGTGTCTTCATCATGTTTGTGGATATTAAGTGAATTTATAGATGGAAAGCACTTAGCTCAGTGCCTGACATAGTAAATACAGTTCATGTGTGGCTTAATGATGGGGATATGTTCTGAGCAATGTGTCTGGCAATTTCCTCATTGTGCAAACATCATAGAGTGTACTTACATGAACATAGATGGTTTAGCCTATTATACACCCAGGCTGCATGGTATAGCCTATTGCTCCTCTGATCACTGTTGTACATGTGTGTATATGTGGCCTGTTATTGACTGAAACATTGTTATGTGGTGCATGTTATACTCAAAAATAAGTTGTTTGTTATTTTTACCATTATTTATTTCCAATCTCCATTTATTTAATTTATTTAATAAGTTAAACATTAATGACATGAGTAGTGGATTCTGGGGAGATGATGGTATAGACTTTGAATCTCCAGAAATCTGCACATAAAAACAGACAAAGGAAATAGATAGCTAAACACCAAACCCATGAATCTGTTTACTACAAAACCAAGTTGTTCCCACAACCTTCAGAATGTGTGGGTACTTCAAAAATTTTGTGGAAAGATTTTTCTTATATTTTAATTCCATTAATCCATGAACTTTTTGAAGTACCCTTGTAAAAGTGGGTGGGAACAAAACACCAGCAGTAACAAGACCTCCATGGTAGTGACTTTTGTACAGAAGGAAACAGGGAAGTAGCAAGGCAGCATCCAGTGGACCAGAGAACTGAGAACTCCCCAATAGCTAGCAGGTATTTGCTGAGAAGCACAGCTGACCAATCGCAGGGGGAAAAAAACACATAGGAGTTTGCCCAACTCAGTATCAGGGGAGTGAAAAGTGCCCTTGGTGAGTTCTAAAGTTGGTGGAGCAGACTGGGACACGAAAGCTCTTTGATCCATTTAGCCAAAGCTCCCTTCTAGAACAGAGCCCCAAGGAAACACTATGTGGGGTGGAATCAAAATGAAGCATGACAGAAACCCTGCAGACAAAGGAAAGAGAAGGCCAAGATATGAGTGAGTGGAAGGAAATCTCAGATCCAGGAAACCTTTTGAGAGAAAGTGACAAATACTGAAGATTGGCAAAGAAGATCTAACATTCAGACAATAGACATCCTTAACAAAGAAAACTAAAGCAAGAGCACAGAATGTCTACTTGTCCGGAGCCAAAGAGCCCAGCTGTTGCCTAAGAGCCTGCCTGCCCGTCTGGAGCCAAAGAGCCCGCCCAGCTATTGCCTCGAGGCCTCAGAGCCTTGTTTGCTGTTATCTTCCGTCCCTCCCCCTCCAGTGCACTACGGGTGTAGGTAACTTTACAACTTGCCATAGATAATGGGAATTTTCCATTTACCGGAACAACCCACCCTGTGGTTTTCTCAGTAAACCATCTGCATACTTAATTATCTGCTGACTCCCTCCTGCTGTCTATATAAACTGTGACCTTCTGGCTAATAAACGAGACTTGATCAGAATACTGTCTTGTCTTCATTTCTCGCGTCTCTTGTTCCATCCCATTCCCACTCCCCCCTCCAGGGTCTGCATTGAATATCCTGCGGGTCGGGACATCTACTAAAAATTATACTTCCATAAACAATTCCTAAAAGAAAACCAGTTTGAAACTACACATTGAAAGAGCACTGAGTACCTGGGAATATATACCCCAAATGACCAATACCAAGTTAAATTCTGGCAACACTAGTGGTCATTGAAAAAGAAAAAAAAAAAGGTTTTGCTCACTACCTGCCCAAGCCTGAGCCAAGTCTTTCTGGCTGAGTGGGAGTCCCCTAGAAAACCCAGGAGGGGAGATCTTCCTAGCAGGGGAGACAGCTAGGGAAAGGCCCAGAGCTTCAAGAGAGCATGTCATATACTGGGAACAGGTAGTGCCTGGTGTGGGGACGGCAAGAGGGTTTGGGAGGGGTGGTAGATGAAGCTTAGGCACTTTGCCTAGTCACATCAAAAGAGGGGACTGGAACACTCACCCATGTAGGGCTTGGTGCCAGCCATGGAGGAAGCCTTTTCTGTTCCTTTCACGACTGTTGCTATGTTGAAGTCTGTAATGTGAACGTGTCCTGCAAATACAGAAACAGAAACTCCAGTTAGCAAGAGCTGCAGGCAACTGGGTTATTTCCTTGTGGGATTTAAAGCTGCAGTCTGCAAGGTGAGGCACAGGAAGGACTTATTAGAACTTCTATTTATAATGATATTTTGTCTGATACTCTAAATATGTCTGTTTTATGCATGTTTTAGAGGATGAATTAGTTTGGTAGTACATGCACATTATTTGTAAATAAACATACTTTTGTTGAAAAGCAGGATAAAAAATTTATGGATTAAAAATTTAGAGACTCTGATCTAGAGAAGGAAACAAGGGGATGTGGGGATAAACGGAATAAAGAGAGGAAGGGAAGGAAGGAAGCAGGGAGGGAGGGAGGAAAGCCTGAAAGGTCAGTACTTGCTGTCTGAGGGATTTGGAACATAAAAGAAACCAGTGCTGAGAGCCTTGAGGAATAAATATAAACGCAATTACATTTCTCTCTATTTGTCATCACATCATGTGAAAACGGTGGGTTGGATTTTCACCAAATCTGAGTGTTGTGTTTGGGATGTGGGACTTAATTATATGGTGGTTGGCACACACAAAATTGACTTTGGGGGGACTTGGAAGGCACCTCCATGAAATGGGCAGACACCTGGGGTGCAATGAGGCAGGCCGAGAGCCCCAAGGGACTGCCTGTGGGAGAGGCGTTTCAGATGTGATCAGCCACAGTGGACCAAAAAGCACCAGTGTGTCACGTGCAAATCTCAAATTTCATGATCAAGTGCCAGCACTGATGTGTGAGCAGGGTGCTCAGCCAGGCACTCTGTTCGACAATCGCAGGTGAGCTGCAGCAGCGAGGTACTTCTGCAGAGATGATCTGTAATACTATACAGGTGCTGTAGGTGAAACTTAACTCACCCAGCCAGGTCTGTGCTGGGGTGTGTCTCCACCTCGGTAGAATTCCTAGAATGTATCCAGCCTGCTCCAGCCTCTGGGGCTTCCCCCGGCCTCTCTCTATGGCTGGAATGACTGTCCCCCCATTTAGCCATCCACAGTCCTGTCTGCAGAGAGGAAGTGTGGAGTAGTAGTTCGGTGCACAGACTCTGAGCCAGACTGTCTTTGTTTGGGGCTCAGCTTTGATGGGACTAGCGGTGTGATCGTGGGCAAATAACTTAATCTCTCTGAGCCTCAGTCTCCTCATCTGTAAAATGGGGATGTAATAAGGTAATACCCAACTCAGAGGGCTGTTGTGGGAGTCCGGGAGTTAATACACATGAAATGGTTATAGCGAGGCTGACACGCAGGAAGAAGGGAAGCTTCTCATAGCATTGTTATCCTGCATGGCTGGCTCAAAACCCATCTTCTTTAGCCAGGGCCAGTCCACCCCTGTACCCTCTCGTTTCCTCTTTTTTTTTTATACTAATAAACAAATTCACATTCCTGTTTTGGACTGTGAGGTATGAGGGGGCGGGTGCACGTCTTAGTCGTTGCTGTACCCCACGCCTACATAGGTCCACGTACAACGCACACATCACCACTGCAAGTGGATTCTAGAGCCTTCAGGTATGGCGTTTATTTGGCTTTCTTTCATTTCTCCCTCTCTTTAAAAGGTTTAGTATTTGCATTATGAAAGTAATGTTAGCTCATTATAGTAAGTCCAAGAACAGAAAACATGTTTTTAAGTCACCCGTTTCAACCTCCCATGTAATCAGGCTGATTCGGCTGGCTTCCCCATTATTTCTCCCTTTGCTTATGCAAACCTATATCCACATATGTAGGGACTTTGATTTATTCTTACAATAGTAGGATCATACTCTATGGGTTGCATTTAGCCATGTATCATGGACATCTTTCCAAGTTAGTACACATAGGTTTACCTGTGAGACACACACCCCCTTATCCTTGATTCTAAATCCAATTTTTTTTTTCTGGCAACTTACTTGGTGATAAGATTTGATCTGAAAATTCTCTTTTCAATTTTATTTATTCCATTTAGGGTGAATATTCATGTTTTCCTGTAGAAATATCAATGTATTTGATTACATGATACTCTCCAAACCCCTACAGGGGTGTTAATAATATACAGTTGCTAGTATTTTTAAATATTATTACATATTATATGTTAGACATACTGTTTATTATTATTATTATTATGCTATCTTATTTAATAAATTTTTAAATTTGAAAAGTTTTGAATTATGAAAACATGTCTGCCCCCAGGAGTTTTGGATAAATAATTATAGTTGCAAAGTATTCCATGGTTTGGTTGTATCATATTCTATTCAACAATTCCCTGTTATGGGTAATCAGGTTGCCTCCAGCCAGTTTTGTCTGCTTAATAGCTTGTCTTGCTATTATAGAACAAGCCGCAACAAGCATTCTTAAACATATCTTTATGTATGGTACTTTTATTGTGACTGGATAAATTCCCAAAAGTGGGATTGCTGGGTCCAAGGGTGTACATATTACAATAAAAAAGTTATAATTTATGGTATTATGAACAGAACGAGAGTGTGTACTTCTCTGCACTTTTACTAGCACTAGCTGTTATCAGTGACTTCATGGTTTGCAAATCGTTTGTTGAGAAACAGTATCTGCTGAAACCGAGGCTGCCCATTTTTCATGTGACCGGCCTCCCCTGTGAATCGCCTGTCTGGAATCTTGGTCAGTTTTCTATCAGAGCTCCTTATTTACAAGATATATTTACCCTTTTCTCTGCTATGTATATTGCAAATATTTTCTCCTAGCCTGTGATTTGTCTTTTGACTTTGTTTACAGTGTCTTGTGCTAAATAGAAGTTTGAAAAAACCAAATAATACAGTGTGCTAATTTTATGGTTTCTAAGTATTATTTTTCTTACAACTTTCCAGTTTCCAGAAGCCTATTTCACTACTAAGATTTTACATATTCTCCTATATTTTTTCATAACACTTGTATAATTTACCTTTTATATTTAAAATTTACAATCAGCTGGAATATATTTTTGTACATGGTATGAGATAACATTCTCGTTTTATTTCTTCCAAATGGAGAGCCAGTTGTCTTGACAACATTTACTGAAAAATCCATTTGTTCCCAATAACTGTAATGTGACTGTTTTATATCAAGTTCCACATACACATGGATCTGCCTTTAGATGGTTTCTTCTGTTCCACGGCCCTATTATTTAATGCTGGGTCAGCACTGTACTGTATTGGTTTAATTACGACAGGTTTGCAGACTACTATAATATTAGATAGTGTTTCTAATTCTAAAACGTTAGATAAATTCTATAATACTAGATAGTGTTTCTCGCCTTTGTTTCTTGTCAATGTTTTCTTCATAATTCTCAGACATTTATTCTTCTGAATAAACTGGAAATAAATTCTGTCCAGTTTTGGGAAATTCCCCCATTAAGATGTTGATGGGAATTACCTTAATTTATGCATTTACATGAGAAGTGTGTTAATTTAATTTTTCCATCCAGGACCCTGCTCTTTCATCTGAACCTTGCTTTATTCCTTCAATATACTTTCATGTTGAGTGTTCTCTTCATTTAGGCCTTGTAATTTCCTGGGTAAATTTATTCCTAGATATGTTATAGTTTTGGTCAGTATTTTTAATGGGAATGCTTTCCATTTATTTTTCTTCCTAATTGTTGCTAGAGTAATAAAAAGCCACTGAGTTTTGTTTATCCATGTCCTAAGTTGGGCCACTTTATAATCTTCTGTGGCAGAAGCTGCTCGTTACCTCCCAATGTCCCATCTCCCCTTCCCACACAGTAATGGAATGTTTAGCTGTCTCCACCATGCCTCTTCCTCCCCCCCTCCTGCCTCAGCCCCTGTGATGAGATAACTCCAAATGGGCATCTATCAAATGTATGAGGGCCCAGCGGTAGCCTGGTGCAATTATCTCACTGGGACCTACATGGCCAAAGCCTACGAAAGCAGAACCCACATAAGTTTGAGTAGACCCTATGTGGGTTCTGCTCGAAAGGAAAATCAATTCTGCATACTAGGACTTGTTTAGGCGCAGTGAATCCCCTCTCGATTTGTCCTCTGGAATCCGCTCTTTGATGGGTGCTGTGCTTCCCTGGGAATTCCTGGGAGTGGGTGCAGAGCAGGAGTTAGGATGGAAGGGGATCTTCTGCAGTATCCTGTGGCTTGTTTCCCTTTTATCATACTTGAGTTTGGAGTTAAGTCTGGTGTGACCATCTGTCCCCATCTCAGCTGGTTTTAGGATCCACATCATGCCTAAGCCAGAGGTCAGCATAGTGCTGCTGAAACCAAGCAACCAGAGCCCAAGGGAGATGAGAACCAGGGCAGTGCCCCAGCTGTCTCACGCTCACCGCTGGGAGTAACTGTGCTGCCCTGGCACCGGTGCCAGTTGTAATGCTGGCTGCCAACCTCTGACACAGGGTCACACGTCCCAGCACCCCACAGACCCATTCTTTCCCTTCCACTTATCTTCATGGAGATCATAGTGAACTTATCACAGGACAGTGGCAAAAGGGATAAATAGACACCTAATCAAATCCCATGGCACAAGCTTATCCAAGCTTCATTTGGCTTATGGCAGAACACATCTTCGCTTGGCAGAGAATGAAATGATGCTTTGATTTTTTTCTGTTCCATTTGATTTGGCTTCCTTCTGTACCTTGGTAATGGGGTGAGAATGTGGGGCCTTAAAAAACAATCTGTCTGTCCTAGGCTGCCCCTGTGTGTGAAACGGCAGCTAGTTAGCAGCCTTGCACACCCCTGGTTTGCTGAGCCCCTTCACTGAGACTTGGGAAGGACACTCCCACCCCCAAGTACCTTCCCCCCATGCACTGAGATTCCATAAAGCCTGGCCCAGCATGTGTGCTCCATTTGATCTGTCGCTGTGTGGAAACCACCTAGCCCAAGGCTTTTGAGAGAACTCAAAAGGTTTTAGTTTCTTTCACCTTTTCTCTACTTCCATGGCTCTTAACGTCAAGCCATTAGATTTCTGGGTTAATTAGTTACTTCCACAGAGCCAAGGCAACTGACTAGTACACTTCCTTCTGCCTCACTG